GTCACATACTTCACATCGTCTGAAGCTGGAATGGTCAGATAAGCAGATATATATCAAGTAAGTTTGCATGAGAAGATCGCACACTTTGGATATGGACAAGAAGCTGTTGACTATGTTACTGAACGGTTACTTACTTTCAGGAGAATGCAAGTAGTTAACATCATCCAGCATAGATTCCCCACTCTTGGTAGATGAAGCTAGTGACACATACCTGGGTTTGTTCTTTCCTCCGCTAATAATCTACAAACAATGCAATAATGAGAAGGCGTCTTCTTCTTGGAATCGGTAATGAACAAGCACATAAACAAATTATAGAAAAAAAGATGCTGCCTGTGAAACTCCCTTACCTGTGGATTATACCGGCTAAGACCATTTTCCGAAAGCAATTTGTCCAAAACATTAGTATGGGATTCTATCTGGCCGTAATAAACTTGTTCTTGTATCTTGGGAAGTTCATCATTCATGGCATTTAAAAGAGTTTCTTCCTGGAGAGACAAGAGCTCACATCATGAACCAATTTCCGAATGACTCAAGAAAATCAATAGTTCTTAGTATGCAGACGTGAAAGTTGATGCACGTAAAAGTAGCAAATGGTTTGCATGTAAAATAATTATGAAAATTTACACACGTATTTGCAACTAGCGCTGCCAACATTTGAGAACCGTACATGTTAACAAAGATGCACAAAAGTACCTCAACAGAATCAAAGACGAGGCCATTCATCAAAAATGAACACTTCAGTTTTGCAAGACCCAGCTTAAATACAAACATAGAACTTGCTTCAGATGCCTCCTTCAAAGTGTGCTCTTGCTGCAGTTTCAGCAATATCTCCTGAGGGGGTGATTTAACCTTTGGTCTGAAATAGAAAAGACCCAACTTTAGGAGAGATAGGGAATACAATCCAAAATTTCCATGAAAACAGATATTAACATAAATCTGCGATTGTATGATAATGATCTAATATTCCGGGTACTTACAAAATTGTCTCAACAAATGCGCCATCAACATGCTGCTGCTCAATGTCTTCTTCGGCAGATTCCGTCCTTAAAGTGTTTACCTGTGAACCAATCTGAAGATTTGAGCAACTAAAGTTTGGGATACTTCAAGACGCTTCTAACTATGACCGAGTGTTAATGTCTATTACATGTCCCAAAAACTGAAAAGCTGTTTGAATCCCATGGTGCTCCTTGATGTACAGAAAAAGACGTATAATCTGCAAAGAGTATTTATCATCAGAAAAAAAAAAAAAAAATCATTCTTGGTTTCATCCTAAAGCAAAACAATTAAAAAGAACATAATACAAACAAACATCTTATTGCAGAAACGTTAGGAAATTGATAGCAATAAATTTTTGTTCCAAAGAGAGGTGAATACCGTAGTGGATATGTCCTCTTTAACTTGGGCATTAGTCTCTGCATCATAAGATTGGATCTGACCACCATTGTCCTCGATTGTCTTGATTAGGTGAGTGGAATATAATATCACTCCAAATCTCACAGGGACTTGATTTTCGTATAAAGACCTGAGAGTGTCAATGGACTGTAAAAATACAACAATAGTCAAACTCTGTACTCATGAATAAAGGAAGAAGGGGCGGAAGTGCCAGAAAAGGGCATATGTGAGACTTGCCTCAAGACCACAGACAGTGGCTGGATCAATGACGTAAACTGCATGGAACAGGTTCTTTCGGATGTAACGTAGTTGCCCAGGGAAGGCAGGCATCAAAATCTTATTTCAACGTGAGAGAAACACAAGCAATTAGAGATATTATTTTTCAAATTGCACCCTGCTCACAAAAAATATCATAAGTATCCTTAATTATTAAGATGTGAGTTGTACTAATTACCTCGTTAATATTACTCCGCCAGCGCTTGTACATATCATCCTCTTCCAGATTGTTGAGATAATTAACATGCTCAGAACGGAAATCAACCCGATATGAATCCGGCTCCGGGAGAGGGGTAGTTAGTAAAAGTTTCCGTATGGCTCCATCAGGTATCTGACAGTTGTATATATATATGTTAGCACATCCACAACAAGAGTAATCAGCGTTGTACACGCATCAAACAAGAAGTGGGGTGTATGTCTGAAATCTCCAGCAAAAAAGGTAAAACCGTAAAAGAAGGCTAAATTCTCAAATTTTAAGACCCTTCTTACAAGATGTTTCATACAGCACAAGCCCAAATGTTTAGGAGCACAGTCGGTAAAGAGTACCTTAAGCTTTGAAAACTGGTTGGCCAGGGACAACTCCTGATGAGCCAAATCCATCAGCCTACAGACAGAAGGATCAGACAATCATTGGAAACGAACTATAACCAACGATGTAGACATATTAGCTTTTTAAAAGGAGTAAACGGGATCCAAATGAAAAGCAATAAAGCAAACAGATATCGAAATGTAAGTGAACTGAAAGACGGGAAACTAGCTCTGGCCATACTCAAGCTAAAGGGGACTTGGCAGAGCGAGGGAAAAAATACCAGAATTCTTGCTCCACAAACCACTAAACATTCTCACGAAATGAAAAGGACCATGAATATACACTATATATGCCTCGATCAAGACAAAAAAAAAAATCACCATGTGCAAAAAGGTATTACATGTATAGGTCCATATCTTCAATGTTTAACAGGGCACCATTCAGGGCCAACAAAGCCTTGCCAGGGGGAACCATTCTCTGGTTTGAAAGTATCTCTTCTTTGATTGATTCATTGAGCTGCACAAATAAACCAGACAGTTAAAATCAGAAAAACCAAAAGAAACAATCAACAAACAGATTACCATAGCATCAATAAACAATGACATACCTTCATGCGAGATAATGAAGAAACAATGCTTGGAAAGTTTTGATTAATTTCTTGCATAGATTGCAAAGGATCAGAGGCATGGACAATTCGCTGGGCTGTTTGGTGTCCTAAATCTGTAGAATGAAGGCAAATTAGAAAACACTTCATTAACTACTATTATCACCAAGTCAAAAAGTGCATTATGCAGTACCTTTAAGCTCCCAAACATCAAGCGTGTCTGATACAGTTGATGATAGGAGATAATCCCTAAAAGCCATTACTTCTGATTTTAGCTCGGGTTTCCTGTCCTGCAAAACAAGAGTCGCTGACCCTAATGATTACCCAACAGAAAATGGAATATCGCTACGAACTATTTTTCCTTCACTAGTCTCTATCTTCGTCCATCTCACATCCATTAACAAACAAAAATTTGTTTGTCCGGGAATCCATGCAAATCAAACGGACTAAATTTTTTAAAGAAATGTCTGGATGTATTAATCTACTGATGTTGCAAACTAAACATACCAGGATTTTGGAGAATATAAAACCCCTAACATCTTGACTAAGATCTTCAGTCCTCGGATCTTCAAGAGTGATACCTGAAACTCATAGCAATAACACTTAAAGGATAGCAAATTCACAGGTAGCAGAAAGAAGGTAAGGACCGAGTAACTGATAAAAAATAAGCTTTTCCTTTCAACGTTCATATGGCGAAATAAAACAAAAATGAGCTAACGCTAACCTTTCTTGATAGCACTATCATCCATTGCCTTGTACTCCATGTTCTTCAAAGCAAGCTCCACACCATAACCAGCTAAGGTAACATTATCCCTTGCCCCAATGGCACCACATGGTCTCGTTTCGCCTTCACAACCCGAAGGTAACACTGGTCTAACAACATAAGTAACTTTCCCCTGTATGAAAACAAATGCTTCATTAGAATGCACACAACAAAAGAAGAAAGACGCTCTGAAAACAACAGCAACACAATAGAGACCTCCTTAGCTGCTTGTGCAAGCGAGAGGTGAAATTTCCTAAAGCAACCAGTCCCAACAGCCCCATATAGAACAGTAACTGGAGTTCCAGCTTTCGAATCAAAATGAACATGATCAAAGTCGAAGAGCTCAGGCCCGTGAACAGCGTCTCCAGCACTGGCATCCAACGAAATGCATCTTAAATAAATAAAAAACATACAAATTGTGAATCTTAACCAAAGGAAGAGAGAACAATCACTGCATACGTAGGAGGAGAAGCAAGCCAGGAGATGAGATCCGCAACATCATAAAACAAGGAAGAGCCAGTATCAACCCAGCAACAGTGACTCGCAGACTGATCATCTCCGTGAGGGAATGAAGAGAGAGACTCATCAGCTAACTGACGGTACAGCACAACTCTAGGCGACGCGGATCTCAGAGTAAGTGAGAATTGAAAAAGAGAAGCCACAGGTTTAGCCAATAAGGTCGATGCTTGTGTAGATATCTTGAGGAGACAATCTCTAGCCGATTTACAATCGGAATCTCCATCGGAATCAAGCCAAGCATCGTTGAAGTCCCAGAAAAGCTGCTTCGATTCCTTCGAAATCAGCTCTCTGTTCACAAGGAGAATCCGAATTAGTAGCAATGGAGAGATCGAACGAAAGAAAGAAAACAAAAGGCATTTATTTACCCAGCCTCGAGGAGAAGAGGAGTGCCTTGCCACTTGGCTTTAACCGCCACCTGAACATTCTTAGGTCTCCGGTTTTGAGCGTTGACGGTGAAGACGACGACGAAGAGGAGGAGGATTACAGTGAGTATAGATCTCAGATTGGTCCCCATTTCCACGACGGAGAAGAGAAAACCCAAACAAAGCCGGGAAGAAGTGTTACTTCATTAGTAAACTCATAGGGCTATTTTCGTAAAAACAGTCAAAAGCCACGACATTAATTGTTACGTGGAAGCGTCTGATTGGTCATATCTCTTCCGCGACGGAAAAGATATGTAAACAAAAAAAAAATCAAAGCCCGACTGAATAAAATGAAACCGAACCAAACCGAAATCGAATATCAAATGTGTTTACTACTTCGAATTATGAATTTGACCGGGTAATTTCGTAATTATTTATTAGTAAACGACCAAGAGCCACGACATAAGAGTGACGTGGAGGCCACTGATTGGTTGTAAACCGTTAGGGTTTTTCGTCCGATCGAACAAAGAGATTTGGGTCTTGGATGACGTCTCCGACGAGAACATGCGATTAGTACGTTATGCTCCTCAGGCGGAGGATACTATCGCTCTCGGCGTCTCTCAGGAGCTCCAATCACGCCACCAGCGACGCTCTCTCCTCTCCTCCTCTTAACTTCTCATCCTACGCGAAACCTCAAATCGCCGCGGGAGACATCCTAATCCGCCAAGTAAAAGACTGGTTCAAAAACGACGCCGTACAACCACAAAGCCACCAAAACCTAATCAACCAAATCTCCGACATCCTCAAATCCCCCTCCAACGATGACGACGACGACGACAGAGCTTTCTACCACAAACTCACCTCCCTCCACCTCCCCCTCTCCGAAAAGTTCGTCCTCGACGTCCTCAACCACACGCGCTACGACCTCCACTCGTGCCTCAAATTCTTCGATTGGGCCGCTCACCAGCCCGCCTTCCACCACACGCGCGCCACGTTCCACTCCATCTTCAAGATCCTCCGCGGCGCCAATCATTTCCGCCTCATCATCGAGTTCCTAGACGGGAGCGACGGCTTCGAAGGCTACCGCCACTCGCTGCGTCTCTGCGACGCGCTCGTGATCGGTTACGCGGTCGCCGGACGCGCTGACGTGGCGCTTCGGCATTTCGGGGGTATGAGGTTTAGAGGATTGGATTTAGATACGTTTGGGTATCATGTTTTGCTTAACGCGCTCGTGGAGGAGAAGTGTTTTGACACCGTTGATGTGATATTCGATCAGATCTCAGCGCGTGGGTTTGTTTGCGCGGTTACGCATTCGATTTTGGTTAAGAAGATGTGTAAGCAAGGGGAGGTTGATGAGGCTGAGGTTTATCTACGTGGCTTGTTGCCTGATGACCCTGATGGTTGTGGTGCTGGGTTAGGTATTCTGGTTGATACTCTTTGTTCGAAAGAGGAGTTTCAGAGAGTGACGAGGTTGTTAGATGATATCAAAGTGGTTGGGACGGTTCCTATGGAACGTGCTTATAGTATTTGGATTAAGGCTCTTATTGGAGCTGGGTTCTTGAATAATATTGAAGGTTTCTTGCAGCAGATTAGTCCTTTGGAAGGTTGTGAGATAGAGGTTGTTAGGTATAACTCTTTGATCTCGAAGCTTTTGAAAGAGAACAATCTTGGGAGTGTGTATGATATCTTGACGGAGATGATGGTTCGTGGGGTTTTGCCTAATAAGAAGACTATGAATGCTGCGTTGTGTTTCTTTTGTAAAGCTGGATTGGTGGATGAAGCGCTGGAGTTGTATAGGTCGAGGTCTGAGATTGGGTTTGCTCCTACTTCTATGTCTTACAGCTATCTGGTTCGTACTCTTTGTGGGGATAGGCGTGTGGAGCAAGCTTATGATGTGTTTAAAGGAGCGATGGACAGAGGGCATTTTCTTGGTGCGAAGACGTTTTGTATACTTGCGAATGCTTTGTGCTGGAATGGGAAGGCTGACATGGCCAAGGAGCTGGTTATCGTTGCCTCGGAGCGGGACGCGTTGCCTAAGTTTCTAGGTGGTTGCAAGATTATACCGGCTCTTTGCGATGCTGGGAAAGTGGATGACGCTATTTTGATTAATGAGCTGTTCAATAGAAGCGGTGTAGCTACTACGTTTGGAATGTTTATCAGCTTGATATATGGTTCAATCAGGTTGATGAGGGGAGACAAAGCTGCTAAACTTATTGTCAGAATGCAGGAAAAGGGCTTCACCCCGACTTATAGTCTCTATCGAAATGTTATTCGATGTGTTTGTGCGATGGAAAGCGGTGACAGAAGCTGTTTCACTACGTTGCTGAACTATCAGTTGTCTCGTTGGGAACACAAAGTTGGGACCTACAACCTATTCATTGAAGGAGCTGGGTTTGCAGGAAATCCAAAACTTGCAAGATTAGTGTATGATTTGATAGGGAGAAATGGTTTCACGCCAACACTAGATTCAAACGTACTCATGCTTCAGTGTTATCTCAAAAACGAGAAGATCGCTGATGCCCTTGAGTTTTTCCATGATCTGCGGGGAAAAGGTGAGGTCAAAAGAAGACTATACCATGTAATGATTGTTGGCCTCTGTAGAGCAAATAGATTGGATGATGCTATGCATTTCTTGGAAGAGATGAAAAGTGAAGGAAGACATCCTAGCATCGAGTGTTACGAAGTGCTCATACAGAAACTGTGCAACAGAGAAAGGTATGAGGAGGCAGTTGGGTTAGTCAATGAGTTCAGGAAAAGCGGGCGGCGTATTACATCCTTCATCGGTAACGTTCTTTTGTATAACGCAATAAAGAGCAAAGGGGTGTATGAAGCATGGACACATATGAGAGATGTGGAAGAGAAGATCCCTGAGATGAAGGCTCTTGGTGAATTGATAGGAGTATTCTCAGGACGAGTCGAAATGGAAGGAGAATTGAAGCGGTTAGATGAAGTTATAGAGAAATGCTATCCTCTGGATATGTACACATACAATATGCTGTTGAAAAGGGTGGTAATGAATCAGGCGGAAGATGCGTTTGAGTTGGTTGAAAGAATAGCTCGAAGAGGGTATAAGCCTAATGAACGAACCGAAAGGATCCTTGATAGAGCTCGGCGCATACTAGGTAATCTCAACTCTCGGTCAAATGGTTGGAATAGCAGACAAGGACTACTTGAATATTGAAGAGTGTGTCGCGAGAAAGGTCAGGATAGTTAAATTAAGGAATAAGGGAAAGAATTTTTTTGGTTTGCGTTTTGGATTAGCGACGATAGGTGATGGTGAGAAAGCCATATTCGTTTTATGCTCCTCTGGTTTTTTGGATCTCGTCGAAGGGTAGATGTTGTAACTTGCAGAGGCTTTCTTGTCTTGCGAAAGATGTGTTCTGTCTTTACGCAGAAGCTTTTGTTAGTGTCGTTTAAAGACACCCACCAAACTGAATTGGGTGGTTATTAGCATGACATCTTCATGACATCTTCATTACATACAAAATGTTTGTATTCTTTTCTAGAAACAAAAGTCCATCTTCAACAGTTTATTGTCATAATCTTTTATTGTTTATCAAAGGAAATTTTATGGTACTCGCCTTGGTTTATAATCGCTGTGTTTGTATTTACATTTTTTGAAATATTATGTTTACTTTATTATTTTAAAATGAGTATCGAAATGCAAATTTCTTCTTATTCAAAGAAAAGCGATAAAAGCACTAATATGTATACACTACTGTCTTTTCTTAATTCAAAATAGTTTAATATCAACATAAACAACACATATGTTACGAGGAGAGTGTGCATTACATGTATCCCAAGAAATACATTTTTAAAACTAATGATAATGCAAGTACTGTGTACTACAGATTAGCCCCATTTGTACTGCATAAAGACACGTATATACACATAGGGCTGGGCATTTTATCTGTTATATTTGATTCGATTCGTTATTCGTTTCGATTCGATCCGAAAATTCCGGATATCCGTTAACTTTCGAATCAGAGCAAATACTAAAATTCAATATCCGTTAAAATCGAAGCAAATCACAAATAGTAAAATTTTGGGAAGCGGATATCCGATCCGATCCGTAAATATATAAATATATGTATATCTTGATTATATTTAACATTTTAAATGTATAAAATTATATAATTATTATTCTAGCATATGATTTTGAACAATTCTATTCAAATTATTACTTATACAAAAGTATTACATAAAAAGAAAGAAAGAAAATTATGACAATTATATTTTTTTTCTTAAATTTTTTGTTATTATAATTGTAACTTAAGCTTAAAAAATTACAAAATATATAAATTCACTAGTTCTTTTAAGTTTTATTTTATATATCATGCAAAAAAATATTTTTGCAAAGCAAATTTGTATCAAAATCTTAAGATTATTTGTATTAATCAAAATGAATGAGATATTCGTAAATATTTGTAAATATCCGCAAATATCTATTTATTTTCCGGATATCCGTTTTTCCGGATATCTGTATTTTTCGAAGCAAAGCAAATACCAAAATTAGATATCCGTAACATTCGAATCAAATCACAAATACCTTTTAAAAACCGGATATCCGATCCGTGCCCACCCCTATATACACATAAACCAGACCGGCTAGACTTCATTAGAAAGAAAGAATCGAGACTTTGACTATATTCCAACCTCTGTATCCATAGGAAGAAGATGATTCAGGTAAGAAGAATCTGTGATTCTTTTTTTCTTCTTCTCTTACTGGTATTTTGTACTGCAGAGCTGATGATATTATACTATTGTCTCCTCTCCGGCCAACTCCTTGTGACCTGTGATTCCCTGAGTTCTTTTTTCTTTTTTTATTTATACATTATCTTCAATCATTTTTTCTGACTTTACATTTTTTGCACATAAACTGCCTCTCGAATATTCAAATATAATACTATTTATACTGCTTTGGGGTTGACTTGGGCTCATTCCACTCCCCTGTCTATCTTTATATATATGCATATGCACACTTGCATACATAAACCATCGTCATTAATGATTATCTTGTTTAACTTAATTAGGGTTTAGAGATTAGAATAAGTTGGTTTCCTGCAATTCTGAGATAAACTTAAATAAGACCATCTCGTAGAGATCGAAGCTTCTTTATTGCTATAGCGTGTTTGTTTCTTTAGACGTTTGGTACGTATGTCCAATCATCAGACTTTAGCATCCGGTTTACTAGAAGATCTCTTGCATATTCCTGCAGAAACAATTGGTGAGAAGGATGATACTTGCAAAGCTCAATCAGATAAAAAAAGGAAGGAAGTAGCAGTAGTATTGCATGATGAAGAAGCTCATGGGTCATCAAGGGCTGCAGCAAAGAAACAAGAACGTAACGCTAGTGAACGTCTAAGGAGACTGAGACTTCATGCCTCTTACCTTACTCTTGGCACTCTTCTTCCTGATCATTCTTCTTCCTCCAAGGTTTCATAATCTTCTTCTTCCTTTTTATTTTTGAAATGACACACATATATATATAGACTAATTATGAGTAGGATTGTTGAGCTAGTTTCTTTATGTTACTGATTAACAGAAGAAATGGTGTGCACCGTCTATAATGGATAGAGTGGTCACTTACATTCCTAAGCTAGTTAATGAAGTTGAAGAGCTAACTCTTAGAAAGACAAAGCTTGTAGAAGCAATAGAGAACAAGAGGTTCCAGGAGTTGGAGCGGCACGATTCTCATATTAGAGCAGTCTCGGTTCTTGAATTGGGTGAGTCAGGTGATGAGGCTGTTTTGCAGATAAGCATGAAAAAGGTAAAAGAAGATGAGTTCTCGAACTTGCTTCATGTAATGGAGATGCAAGGTTGGAGTATTTTAAGTTCTTTTACATCTCTAGTGTGCCGAGATCAAAGGGTGGTTTGCTACAACTTCCATGTTAAGGTACTTGTTTGCTCTTATATATACTTCAATTATTTTGAATAATATCCAGCCAATGTGCTAGTAAATAGGCACCTGAATGTTTGGTAGATAAGTTTTAGAAATGAATATGAACATAGATGTTAGTATCTTCTCCAGAAATACATGCTTATTTAATTAGGGTTCATCTTGGGAGGATAGTTTATAAGTTATGAATGAGTTTTTAAGATACTGATTATTTCAGTTTAAGAGAAACTTTTGGACTCTTGATTACATGTATTTGATTATTGTAATGTGTAAAAGAGAGGGATGATTTACATATAGTTTCATGTGTTATCAACAGATGATCCATGATCTCTGGTCCGAGAACACTAAACTTAATTCATCAATAGTTTTTTTAGCAATTATATAGCCCTCATCTCATGAGACTGGACTGGCATTGTTTCTGGAGAACTAATAACGATTGAGAAATGTATGGAAAATGTAGATGGATGAAAAGCCATGTGAAGGTGATGATGACTACATCACAATGTTGAAGAACAACATAATTTCTTCCCTCTCTTGACAACACAAAATGCAAATGAAATTAAGTGAGATGAAGAATATGTTATAGATTTGATGACGCATATTGCAATTGACATTCCTCATGGTTATATCATGTTTATTCTGGTATTTGAAACCTCACAATCATATTTTGTAGAAGTTATTTTTTTTGTTATATCCATATTCACTTGTACTTATGCTAATTTGGTGATTTAACTCAACAAGTTGTGAGAATGTCGAATTAAGTTCGTGAGAGTTTTTGTGACATTTTTATAACTCTAAAGAAAATAGTTAGTGATCTAATAAAACGGTTAAAACCTAGCTCAAGGAATATTACAGTACTACAATCTTCCAGTTCAAAGGTGAAATCCGGTACTTTTAAGGATGATGACCTTAACCTGTGGAGCCGATAAAAACTATGATCAATAAAAATTTACACTGAACTAGTGAAAACTAAAAATAGGTTGAGGTTAAGGTTGTACCACCAAACCTGGTTGAATAAAAAAAACTGAATAAAATTACAGCTCCCTAATGTAGTCGACACAGATTCTTTAAAGCCCATAAGGGCAGAGCAACATGCAACGTAGCCCAACTCTAATACCATAAGGCCCAATAAATAAAATTACTGAGTAATAAACACAAAAGAGTCTAAAGCAAACACGTGTACGTGTACGAAAAAAAAAAAAAAAAACACGTGTACGTGTACGAGTTGATGAAGCGAGTCGTCACCATCTCATCTCCATATCTTCATATTCCGTTTCGATCGTCCGGAAAATGTGTACGGACAGTTGCAAACGATTTTCATGAAATCGACTCCGAAAAGGAGAGAGAGGAAGAGTCACACCTCTGATTCTCTCAGAATCAGAAGAAGAAGACATGAGAAGACGACGATGAAGAAGCGGACTATCTACTCATCGGTAGCAGCGACTGTTATCTTCCTCGTTCTCATGATCGTCACTCCCACCATCCCTCAGTCTCAAGCTTATCACGCTTTCGCTGATCAACGCTCCTTCTTCGGTAACTTTTCACACACACTTCCTCACTTCCCTTTGATTTCTACTTTCTTAAAATCCACGATTCATCTATTTAGGTATTCCGAATGCTCTAGACGTCATCTCCAACTTCCCTTTCCTCATCATCGGCCTTATCGGCCTCGTCCTCTGCTACTTCCCAGACGATTATTTCAAATTCAGGCGCGTTAACATCTTCCTCTCCACATATCTTCGCGTTCCTCTTAGCGATTCAAATTCTGTTGAGAAACTTCACGAACTAAACTCGGAGAATATTAAAAAAAAAAAAAAAATTAGAGAGAAGAATGTACTGGTACACCACAAGATATTAAGTCACTATTGAAATAATTAGTAAATTCAAATTAGTTAGTAGTGCACTGAGATTTTGAATGTCACTAATCATTTCAAAATTAGTTTAAAATTTTCATTCAGGAAACAAAATTAGTTAAAATTTTCATTCAAAAAACAAAATTAGTTAAAAATCTGTGTGTAACTAACAGTTTGCGAGGCGAGAGATTGGGATGGACTTGCTTTTTCCTCGGTGTGATGGCTGTTGCTTTCGGATCTTCTTACTATCATCTCCACCCTGATGATGCACGCCTCGTCTGGGATCGCCTTCCTGTACTCCTCTAGCTTGATACTGCGTTTTAATTCTGTCTTTCGTTTTGATCACTAGTGTTTTGGTTTTTGGTTTTCGAGTAGATGACTATTGCGTTTACGTCGATCTTGGCTCTATTTGTGATCGAGAGGATTGATGAGCACAAGGGTACTTACTCCATCGTCCCTTTGCTTCTCGCTGGTCTTGTCAGCATTCTCTATTGGAGGCAAGTAGTTTTTCTATACATACAGTTCAATAATAACAACAGTCTTTTAAATGGTAACTAACTTGTGGGCCTGTAATTTGCAGGTTTTTCGATGATCTTCGTCCTTATGCTTTAGTTCAGTTTGTTCCCTGTATTGCTATTCCATTGATGGCTATTCTTTTGCCTCCAATGTATACTCATTCCACGTATTGGCTATGGGCTGCAGGTTTTGTGATTCAGTGTTTTGAGTTGATATCTAGTGTTTGGTTTTGCACTCAAAGCTGTTGTTATACTATGTTTATCTTGTCTGAAATTTTGCAGGGTTTTATCTCTTAGCCAAAGTGGAAGAAGCTGCAGATAAGCCTATATATAGCTGGACGAATCATATTGTTAGTGGGCACTCTATAAAGCATTTGTGTGCTGCTATGGTCCCCGTCTTCCTCACTCTGATGCTCGGTAAAAGAACCGTTCAAACCGAGAGGTATAAAACTCTCATGTAAACATGAAATGACTCGACATAGCAGACCCATAATCTTGGATTCATGATTTTAACCCCTTTTTTTGGCTAAAAACAGGATTAGCTTGTATAAGACATGGAAGAGGAGTAGAGGAAAAGGGTCTAAGGAAGAGAGCTTCGAGTGTACTTACTCCAACGTAGCAGTCCAAGAGACTCGGTAGGTTGTGTTAGTAAGACTCTGGTTAATGTAAGATCCATGTTTTTGACCTTTGATAGTTTTGTTAAGAATCACTCAGCAAATGGAATTAGTTAATAGCGCCGTATAGGAGGTTGAGGTTGATCATCCATCCTCAATTGGAAACTCGTGAGCTTTTGTGTAATTTTCTTATCACAATGCAATCCTTTCATAGTGCTAACAACATTTCGATTTTATTTTATGATCGAACTACTCACCAAACTGAAGAAGACAAAACTTTGCATAATTAGCCATGAAACTACTGTTATTAAGAAATGCCGTTTACGTTTTAACAACTTTGCCGTCAAAACGTTACATCAAATGTTATGCTTTAATCAACAAAGTTTTCTTTACAGTGTTTGGAGTAATGTATATGGAGATAATTTCTCAAAAACGTAGAAATCTGATCATAAATACTGTTGGAAAAACGTGATGGTAGAGAAGAGGCCCAAAAGTAAAAGTGGGCCATAATAACTGGAACTCCCAAAGCTCCCACATTGGTAATGATCAAAAATATAATTCAGTATATAAATGTGTAAGCTAATCTACTCGATTGTCAATTGGTGATAGTAGTTCTTAGGTTTCCGTAGCGACGACCTGGGTTATTCTACTTTCATCAGTTGACCTTTTGAAGTCTCCACCGCCACGTGTCACTTATGAAGTTTGGTGAGATAGCAGTTGACCTTTTGAAGTCTCCACCGCCACGTGTCACTTATGAAGTTTGGTGAGATAGATAATGATTGAGCTACAGAGTCAACTTCTCAACAGACACACGTAATCTCTCCATATCATTGTTTAACCTCCCCTTTTCACATGCTTACCGTGTGATGCACCAAACAAATCCACATTAGAGTCTTTGTGACTCTCTGTCTTCACCATCTTATTTGCTTCTCTCTTGAGAAACATGGAATCAAGTCCTCCTCTCATCAATATAAGCTTCCCCCACTTACTAGCAGCATCAGCCTGCATACATAAAATCCTCTTCACTCTCATGAAAGATCTTTTCTCAAAAGACAAGATAGATCCAAAGAGTGTTGACATCATTGTCTCTAACTGCAGCTTCTTCTGTCCTTCTCCATCCATAACTTCCATTATAATAAACAAGTTTGGCATGAGGAGTGACATAAAGAGCTTCAGCTTGAGTGGGATGGGATGCAGCGCGGGGCTTCTTTCGATAAACCTAGTTAAAGATGTTATGAAGATTGGTGTTAGTGTTGAAGATTCTTATCTCCAATAAGGAAGAACATAAGCGTAAGGCTAAGTATAAACTCATGCATCTTGTAGAACTCATGTAGGATCAGATGATGAGTCATATGAGAGTGTAAAGCAACGGATTGATAAGGAAGAATTAATGGGAGTAGCTTTGTCTAAGCAGAGTGTTGCCTTACTCAGAGCAGATCAAAAACATAATCTCATTCCTCCAAAGGAAATGGAAGAAGGAGGTGTTTTACACACCTAACTTCAAGAAAGCTTTTGAGCATTTTTGCATACATGCTGGAGGAAGAGCGGTTATTCAAGGAGTTGAGAAGCATTTGAAGCTGGATAGAGAAGATAGGGAAGCGTCGAGGTCGACATTGTATCGGTATGGGAACACTTCTTCTTCTTCTTCGGTGTGGTATGAGCTGCAGTATCTGGAAGCTAAAGGTAGGATGAAGAAGGGAGATAGAGTGTGACAAATTGGGTTTGGAAGTGGGTTTAAGGCTAACAGTGCTGTCTGGAAATGCATTAATGAGATTGATTCAAGAGAGAAGAATGCTTGTATCCTGTCTGCGGAGATGCTTCTACAGCTACTCTTGAGCTCACTCATGCATTGTAGGAAAAAAACTTTCTGGTTTTCAGTTTCTTTTGGATTTCTCCTCTTAGAAAATCATTGTCATTTTGCATTCTAAAATAGAATTTAGAAATGTTCAAGGAATAGCTATAGAGGATTATTGTTTAAACAAGTGCCTAAACAATTTTCCGCCTACATCGATTTTTAGAACACTGAGATTTGGGATTTTAGTATGTAGTAATTCAAAAGATTTAGTATGTATATGCAACAGTTTTATTTCATATAAATGTCACTGAAACACATGCTGAAAGCTAAGTAAGAAACTTAAGTGTTAAAGAGTAACATTCTGCATATTGGAAACTACTTCAGCTTCAATTCTTGTGTCCAGCTCTGTCTCTATATGTTCAATCAAACTCTGAAGGCTTCTGCATGTTCCCAAGAAAGCTTCTGATGAAGAAGAGCTCATGAAACCCTTAACATCAACCTCCATCTCACCTATGTTTCCCTTTATTCTCTCCAGTATTTGCTTCATGATACTCAGCTCTTGTGGGGGATAAACACAGGCTCCAAGCTCATCAATCTGTTCACCTGTTCCTTGACACAACTTCAGTAACTTCTCAAACGCGTCCACAAACACACCGTTGTCCTCTGGATTCTCCAGCTTAACCATGCTTACAAAAGCGCGGATGAGTTCTTTCACCACCATGAGCGTCTCGGATACGACATCAGCTACCAATGTAGCAACTTCTAGCTCTTCAGGAGACAAGTCATCACCTAGATCGTCCTCATCTTCATCTGAGTTTGGAGTCTCACTTTCATCGTTTACACAAACATCATCATCAACTGAAGCTGGCTTAAGTTCCTTCATCTCCCTAAGAACATCCTTAACAGAAACAGTCACTTGTGTCATCGCTCGGCCAATGGCTCTGATGTTTGTTGTAGGAACCTTCTTTAAGTTAGAGCATGCCTCCCACACAGCTCCTGTAAGCTGCGGTATTGACGGCTTCCTCTCTTTCTCAAATGATCCTCCTCCTGAGAAAACATCATTCACACTTAAAAGTATAATCTTAAATCAATAAACATAAGAACATAGAGACTTCTACTCACCGTATAAGGAGACAGAACCATGCAACAACTTGAAGCTGGAATCAACAATCTGCTTCACAGAGGCTTGTATGGATGAAGAAAGTGTAGGACCAGCCCCAACCATGCTTCCATGGCAAAGCAGCAAGAATCCTTGAAGGGCGTTGTAGTATGCGTCCATTGTCTCTTTCAATGCTTTAGCTTTTGGTGGTTCTTCTCCAGTCCATAGCATTCCCACTAATAAAGTTAACCAAAAGAACAAACAATTGTAAAAAAGAAAATTTTACAAAAGCACAAAAAAAAAAACTGATTAGAGAAACGATTAAAGAGAAGTAAAACCTATGGTGGCTTGTCTGGAGAGGTGATCAGACATCTTTAGGACATCGTTCCAGTTTAACTTGTCTTGTTTCAGAGGCGGTGAGTGCTCGAACAACTGCAATATTCATCAAGCCTGTTAGGGTTACAAATTAATAAGAACACATATGTAGAAGAAGAAGAAAGAAGAAAAGAACCTGGAGAGTATCGTTGATGGTGTTGAGATATGTAGAAAGGGTTTGATTCAGTTCGTCACTCTTTGTTTTAGCCATCTTCTTCTCCCTTCCTTCACCTCTCGATAACCCTTAGGCTTTTTTATTTGATAGTATTAAGAATTATGGAAACATATCAAAAAGTATTTGGAAATTTTAAAAGAGCAAAAAGGATATGGAAAAATCAGGAAAAAGTATGTAAGACTAAGAAATTGACAATTGTATATTTTTATTAGTTTAAAAATTAGATTATTTATTGATAATTTATGTATCTTGAAATTTAATATACACTTTTATAAAAGTGTTTTTGATTATCAATTTATTATTATGGTATTAAAACAAATATCTAATTCTATGATAACTTTGGAGACTATAAAATATATACTCCCGAAAAAATGGATACAGAAAATTCTAAGCCTCCCCCATCAAACTCTAAAATATCTTTGAACCATTATTTTTTTTCTTAACTATGTTTATACAAATTTTTAATTCAATTCACAGATAAAGGAAGAATTTCTAATCAAATTCTTATCTTATTCTAAATTCACAAAAGTTGTAATACAAAAATAAAATTATGATAAAAATATCACATAAAATAAAAATCTTCGAAAAAGCATAATTATATAATAAAAATGATTTAACTAGTCTAAACTCTCAATCATTATTCTAACTTCACCCCTTAAGTATCCAGGATATTTCTCAAATATTATTTGATTAATGATTTATTAACCTTTTTTATAAGAAAGGAGCCAAAAAAACATCTTCTCATCATGTGTATGGGGGAACAACGTAGAAGCCAAAACTCATGTGCACGTAACATGTGTACATTCAAATCCTGCACCCATCACTCCCAAAAAAATCTACGTACTAAAGAAACAACATTAAATGACAAATTGACTGAGCATATATGTCTTTTGATTCCTTAGTTGAGCATCGCCACATGTTCCTCGTCGTTCTCTTTCTCTTCAAACTCCTCACCCAGCACTCTTTCTCTAGCCTTCCTTACCTACATCCACATGATATTTAAATACACATCACTTTCTCAACCTGACTAAACTTAAACAATGAAAACAACATATGAAGAAAGATGACATCAACTTTCACTAATATACTAACCTGTTGTTTCCAGTTAGTAAGGCTGACAATAAGACCTAGCAAAATAGCTTGTACACATGACCCAACTGTAATCCCAATCCAGAGTCCTCTTCCTCTCATCTTAAACCTAAAACCTAATAAGATAGCAGTTGGTATCCCAAAGAGATAGTATGCAGCTAGGTTTACATAGGCTCCAATATCTTGCCTCCCTGATCCTCTAGCCACACCTGTTTCAATAAACACATTAGTGTCTTGATTAGTGACTTAAACATGATAGAATAAGGATTAGTATCTAACCAGAAAGAACTGCGTGAAGAGCATCAAATATGACCGATAAAGCAACCAGTGGAGCCATTGATCTTACGTAGTCCACAACTTCGGGTTCAGAGCTGAAGAGGTAACCAAATACGTTTCTTGCAGCAAAGACTATTGCACCAACCAGTATTGATTCTACTCCTGCTATAACCATCACTGTGTAAACCGCCATTCTAGCTTTCTTTGGGTTCCCAGCTCCTAACTCGTTTGCAACTCTTGTACTTGCTGCTGCGCCTAGACTCTCTGGTATTTGGTACAAAGAAGAGATTGTGGACAGACTGTTTCACAAGGAAGCAAAGAAACTGAGTTTGTATGACAATAGTTTGGTTAAGTCTTTAGAAGATAAGGAATGAACATACCAGACTGAGAGAACAGAGGTTTCTAGCCTCGGATTTGGTAAAATACCAGAGAGCATGACAAGAAACTCGAAAGACCACCACTCAAGGCTAAAACCAATAAACACAAAGAGATTAAAAGTCAACTCAAATGTAAAAGTTGACCAAAACCAAAACAGAGTAAAAGAGGATTGTTCATACCAAATCATAGAAGCAGATGGGACTCCAAACCGAAAAAACTCTCTCATTCCTTTAAACACATTCATTGAGATCTTCGCACGGCTCTTGCTACAGCTAGAAGAAAACATCATGTACAATCCAAGCACAATCACATTCAACCAATAAGAAACACTTATAGCAAGAGCTGCACCAAGGCTACCAAGCCCAAACTTGAAAACCAAGCACCAGCAGAGAACAACATGGCAACAAAGAGCAGAGATTGAGCTCATGATCAACGGCAGAATCAGACTCTGCGCTTGGAAAAAACGAACAAGCGGTTGTAATGTGGCGTAAGCGAAGAGTGCAGGTATGAGCCAAGTCGCAAACTTTCCTGCTTCTTGAGAAACCAGAGGATCTTGTCCGATGAAACAGAGTATCTCACCCATGTAACTCCAGAGAATAGATAAAGGGATGGATACAATGAACAGAGCAAAGATCCCTGTGTATGTGTGTTCTCCAAGCTTCTCGAACTGTTTAGCTCCGTTAGCTTGTCCACATAAAGTCTCCAACGCAGTAGCCAATCCAAACTGTTGATAAACCCATCATCAAAAACAGAGGTTAAGAGAACAGAGCAAAGCTAAACATACTAATAAAGAACAGAGCAAAGCTAAACGCATTAATAAAAAACAGAGCAAAGCTAAAGTCATTGTTAAAGAACAGAGCAAAGCTAAACTCATTGTTACAGAAGAGAGCAAAGCTAAACGTAATAATTAAGAACATAGCAAAGCTAAACTCATTGTTAAAGAACAGAGCAAAGCTAAACTCGTTGTTAAAGAACAGAGTAAAGCTAAATTCATTCTTAAAGAACAGAGCAAAGCTAAAGTCATTGTTAAAGAACAGAGCAAAGCTATACGCATTAATAAAGAACAGAGCAAAGCTAAAGTCATTGTTAAAGAACAGAGCGAAGTTAAATTCATTGTTAAAGAACAGAGCAAAGTTAAAGTATTGTTAACGAACAGAGCAAAGCTAAACTCACTGTTAAAGAACAGAGAAAAAGCTAAACGCGTTAATAAAGAACAGAGTAAAGCTAAACTCATTGTTAAAGAACAGAGCAAAGCTATACCCATCGTTAAAGAACAGAGCAAAGTTAAATTCATTGTTAAAGAACAGAGCAAAGCTAAACTCATTGTTAAAGAACAGAGCAAAGCTAAACGTATTGTTAAAGAACAGAGCAAAGTTAAACGCAATAATAAAGAACATAGCAAAAAGCTAAACGCATTGTTAAAGAACAGAGGATATGAGAAGAGAGAGACATACGACGAGGCTGAAACCCGTGACGCTGCAGAAAGAAACAGCAATGGCGGTGCTGGAGAGGTAAAGCTCACCGAGATGACCAACCATCATGATCGATATAACTTGAAGAAAATACATTGAAGAGTTCACGGCGACCATAGGTCCGGCGATGTAACCGAGCCTCCTCATCTCCTGGAAAAACCCTTCTCTCATGTTGACTTGTTCATCTTCTTCTTCCCCTACGACGAGGAGCAAACCCTTCTCCGCACAATCCATTCTTTCTTTCTTTCTTTCCTTCAACCTCCCCTCCCGTCTTCTCCGCTGCTTTTCTCTCCGGAGATATCGAGATTTTGTTGAGAAAAAAAAGAGTTTATAATACCTTTTTAATCAGAATCTACAGACTTTATAGTTGTATATATCTTATAAATATTTTTATTTTATTGTTGGGATAATAGCTGAGTGTCGTATTATGATTCTACACCTCCAGATACATCGGTTTCGTTTAGCCGCCATTAGATGTTCTCTGAATCTAATTGGGCCATTACGATGCCAAATTAAGAAATATCATCTCAGAGTAACGATTGGTTAAAGTTTCTATTAGTATTATTATTACTACATTGGAGTTTGCTTAAAGGCGTATGAAAACAATGTATGATTGTATTTGTGGTTGTTTCTTCTTTGTCAAGGCATTGGATAAAAACAAAACTCATGTTATTTTTCATGTACGTTGTGAACCAGTCTTTATCATTTTTTTTCAACGTCTTTATTGTAGAAGCCGGAAAACCGGATCGACTTAAACGATATAAGAACGACGGAGTTAAGGAAAGAAACGATTATATGAAACACGGAGGCGAGATAAATCTCTTTCCTTAACTCTTAATATTCGCTCCGTAGTGAGACGAAACTGTACGAATATAGAGTCCCAGGATACAACCATGGCAGACGAATCACGCTACACTCGTGA